GGGGGAGAGGGGGAGAGAGAGAGAGAGAGAGAGAGAGAGAGAGAGAGAGAGAGAGAGAGAGAGAGAGAGATAGCGTTCCGCGTCTCTTATCTTTCAGCGGAAGCCGGGATGCGCGCGGCACCGTGCATCGCTGACTGCACGCAAAACAATTAATGCGGCTTTTAAGAGCATCGGATTCGACTGCGGAACCAGCGATTGGCTTATCCATGTCTCCGTTACTCCTCTCGCCCGGAAGCTGAGGAAAACAATGGAAGCAGGAGCTCGCACGCGCTGCGGCGGTGGTGGTGGCTGTTTGTTGCCTCAGTCTAGTAAATAACAATTTATTGTGCCCTACTGGGCTACTGGCCTAGTGGGTTAGTGAAGAGATTTTCTCAGTTTCCCCAGTCTAGTAATTAGCACGCCTGCCGTGCTGTCACCCTTGGCGGAATCCCTAATTGGCTTCACTATTGTCTACTGGTGAGAGATTGTTAAGTTTTTATCGTCATCGCTGTAGTTTATTATCATCAGAAAAGGGCCGGCGGGCACTGGCTATATCGACCACATTACGTACAACCGCTGGGGGGGGGAATGTTTGCACGAGCAAGGTCAATTTCTTGCGACACTGGGTCGCAGGTCAAAGGTCAAATCGAGACGGGTATAACTGGGGCAATGGGGGAGCGAGCGACATTATCTGACCTATATTTTATGCGGTGAATCAGCGCAGAAGATCACCTCCCATGGCGCTAATCCTATTGTGCGGTTTATATCTCTCGCATTAAGGAAATCAGTAATTATAATGATTGGCGGTGGTGCTATTGCAGATTACCCGCGCGCACAAAGACGGTAGGAATCGTTGTTTATATCGTTTTACATTTGGTACAAGAAAATAAAACCGTGTCACGACGAGAAGCTACCATTATTTTCGACATCTTAGTAAATTGCAATTGGAAGTGCAGTCTATTTTGAGCAACTCCCCTAGCAGAAGAGTTTTAGCCGGAATATACGGACGTGTTGGTGCGCGCGCGTTGGCGCCGGGGCGGGGCCGCGGGGAGCGGGGCGGGGATGGGAGCAGGGTGGACCGCGGGCGGAGGTGACAACGCAAGCGGTGGTGGGGGTCACCTCTCTTCACGAAATCGAAGCGATTTTCAGATGCGAATTCGTCTCTCTTAATTCTCGCGGGAACCGAGCTGAACTGCATTATAACCGGCCTTCTGTGTGTCATGGGAAACTGATTGTTTATAATTCCCGCGATATCGCGATGGCACTGGCGGCCGGGTGCCCCCCGGGTGTAATGAATTGCTAAATCAGCGTACGCGGCATCTTCGCCTGCCTATTATGTCATATCACCGGCGGGGATTTTGAAGCTGCAGCGAAGTTATCGTGGCTTCACCCGGCCGTAAAGTTCACACGCAGACTCCACAGTTTGTTGTGATTCACAGCTTCAGTGTGTATCACTTCAAGCGCGTCCGCGATGTTTGAAGGGAAGCGAATCCCGGACGCTTAATTAGGCTTAAGCTGTGAACACCGCGAACGTGTTTCGCTTTCAAACGTTCGGTTTGATCCATTGTTAGTATCATTTGGCGTTTGGTTTCATCCATTGTTAGTATACCGTTTCCATGCACTTGTGCTTACTCGGATCACTGCAATTACAGTCTAAGAGGTTAAACGTTCGTCTGTTTGCCTCTCCGAAAAGAGCTCTTTTATTACCTTCAAATAATTGCCTAGGAGACCGAAACGGGCATTACACAGAATATATATATATATATATTAAACTGCGAGGCTACGCCTACGATGACGACGCTATATGGCGCAGGATAGCGTCCCTTGGAAAGAAGTCCTGTTGATCGACGGCACAGCTTAGCTGAGACGGCCGCAGAGAAATCTTGTTGCTTGATTGCCATAGCTTGGGCTATAGCTAGCCATGGGGTGTGACCTAGCTTGGGTAGAGCCAGGTAGTTTAGTTTTTTTTAGCCGAAAGACACTGAGGGTGGTCACAGCCAGAGTTTTTTTGCGCCCTCAGTGGTTCTTTTACGTTTCCATTGGTCTTAGTATTACTGGAGACGGGACCGCCAATTTACGTAGTCATCCGAGCCACGGGAGATTCACAGTCTTCAATGTTGAGAGCCAGGTTTATACACCTTGAGATAATTCACACCCCCGGCCGGGGTTTGAACTCACAGCCTTCATATCAGTGGGCAGTGTACGAGGCTTAACCACTGGGCTACGGAGGTTCTTATTACCTCCCCACGTGTAGAATTATACAAATTATATGTCGATAATACTCGCATGATAATTTTCTCGCGGTAAATATCTGAATCGCGATTAGTTAATTTCCCTTCGTAGAGCTTGGTGCCGCGTTGCTAAAAAATGTCGATTTATGCGTGTGCGTGCGAGTGTGCATGCCTGCAAGTACTAGTAGGCGTGCACGCACGCCTTTGTGTGTGTGTGTGCGTGTGTGTGTGTGTGTGCGTGTGTGTGTGTGTGCGTGCGTGCGTGCGTGCGCGCGTGCGTGCGTGCGTGCGTGCGTGCGTGCGTGTACGTGATGAAATCGTGCGTTCTTATACATGTTCAGCTTCTGGTCAGTAAAAGATGCGTTCAACCCGCCTGCGGCGTGCAGCGGAATACATTTCAGCGAGAATACGTCTCGAAATTATTAAAACCCACCATTATCGTTTCGTTCTTCGCCGATGCACACGGAACGACGGATCTGTCATTCATGTAAACGTGATTACCAGCGCGGCCGTCAACATCTCCAGCCGGACGCCTGTCCGCCCGCATGCACCAGCTGCTGCATGCTGCCGAGAGAGCGACAGTTCACCGCAGTGTTAGCAGTGCAGTGCAGTTAGCACCGCAGCAGTCCAGTGTTAGCACCGCAGTGTTAGCAGATGCAGAGTCGTCTGTGTGCGTTCATTTCGGCGGTAAACCATCACGGCGAGTCGAATCACTCGCCAGCGTTTAAAGTAATGACTTCAAACAGTCTTCCTGCCGCACGACTACACTACTTACTGGTATTGATTGCGTAACAGCAAAAATGGGATAATTTTGTCTTAAGTTAGACTGTCTAACGTCTTAGAACACCCGTACGTCATTATTCTCACAGAAATATGCAACGATTGAAATCTGTTTGTTTACATCGTCTTGACGCGCTTACATGATGATGCTACTTGTTTCCCGCGAGACCCTGTCCCCGTACTTTGACTGTATTTTATATTATAATATACCATAACAGCATAAACCCATTGAAATTTTTATACTGGAGTAATCCGTAGCATGTTTGCTATTGGGTGAGCCTATATTTCGCTATATTTTTCTCGATTGTGCAATATTATTTATGAAGTATTTCCGTTAAGGTTCATTTGGGGTGTTTCGCTGTGGAGTAGCACACTTTGAGCGAACATCCCCCGGTCTCTTCGCGCTAGGTGTGGCGAGTGTTCGAAGGTGAAAGGTTAAATGACGATGTAATAAGATCCACAGTGGTGATTGCCTGTAAGATCCCGCGAGCTCGCACCGAAACCGCGGGCTTTTTTGGGACGCATTACATAGCGCTCGAATGTTATTGAAAATTCTAGAGAAATATCAACGGCAATGGGCAAAATTCCTCGATAACACACAATTATTTATTTACACTGAGATGGATATCGGCAGTGTGAGTAGTTTTTTATGTACTGATGCGTACACGGATGTCGTTATGCGAATGTTGCAGTAGTAATGTGAAAACAACGCTAGGCGAGCAAATATTATTCGGCCATGGAGAGAGATGGACGGACAGACGGGCGGGCGGACGGACGGACGAACAGACAGACAGACAAACAAACAGACAGACAGACAGACAGACGAACAGGCAGAAAGCTAGAGTTGAAGAGAGAGAGAGAGAGACAGGGGCAGAGTGAGAGAGGGAGAAAGAGAGATAGTGAGAGAGAAAGAAAGAAAGAAAGAAAGTAAGACAGAGAGTTTGAGTGAAAGAATGCACGCATGCGCGAGCGAAAGGGAGCAAGAGAGGGGTGGGTGGAGGGTGGGCCCGCTGGTATTGCACGGGACACAGGATAATAGACGAAGCGTGGAGAGCACTATAGCCGGGAAAAAAAGAAAAATCTGAGATGATAATGTTGTTGTTGCTAGGATACGTGATGGATGATAGCCATGAGGCAGCGGAGGAGTCTGGTGGCAGTCCGAGCAAGGCGAGGAAGGCAGCTGTTCTGCGACAGATGATGGAGGATATCAGTAAGTACCTTACCCTCTCCCACCGCATCCTCCTCCCGGCGCGCACATGCACGCATGAATACCGCCGGGGTTCTTGTTCCTACCCTCCTGCAGAATCTGCCTTTGTTCATTCCTTGTAATCTCGTCTATTCCTCGCCTCTCCATTCTGCCCTCTCAATTCTCATTCTGTTTCCTCTTCTTCTTCTTCTTCTTCTTCTTCTTCTTCTTCTTCTTCTTCTTCTTCTTCTTCTTCTTCTTCTTCTTCTTCTTCTTCTTCTTCTTCTCCTTCCTCTTCCTTTACATCTTCCCCTGCCTCGTCGTATACCTCGTCGTCCCCGTATATCGTGCGTCATCCCACTCCTGTAGTCACTCACCCGTGTTCATCCACCTCTTACTCACGTCGAGTCATCACATCAGTGAGACGAAGAATCTCGAGTTTCGGGATTCAAGCGAGAACGTTTGACTGTGTTTTTCTGTGTGTACGTCTCCCGAAGCAGATAGAATCTAAATGAGATCGCAGCTTAGCCATGCGCGTGCCACCCCTGTCTTCGTGAGTAGGGAGCGAACGCATGGAGACCGTAGAACAGTGGTTCCTAACCGTTTTTTGAGTCATGGACCCCTTTGAGAATGTGGTGAAAGCTACGGACCCCTCCCCAGAAAAATGCACATAAGCAGATAAACACACAATTTTGCATACGATGGTGCTCACGGACCCCATGAAGCCCTTCCACGGACCCCTTTGGTTAGGAACCCCTGCCGTAGAGGTACAGGCATTCCTGCGAGGGGAGTGACAGACTCAGCGCGGACTCTGATCTGTCTCCGCCGTCCGCTGAGTAAATCTGCTGGCTGCAGGCTGTTTGTTTACACACGCGTAATCAAGATTTATTATGCCCTGCCCGCAATTACTGCCATAGCGTTATGGATCGAGGCAACCTGTCGCCAGAGCGTGGTCCGTGATGCATATATGTACAGCTGGTATGTGGTGCAAGACTGTAGTGGTAGGTAGGTCTACTGGTATAGGTAGGTCTATGGTAAGTGTACTGCTGCACTGCACTGCTGGTCTTTACAGTGAGGCAGTACAGCCTCACTGTTCAGTGCCTTGTTTAGCATGTAATTTTAAAATATAAATGATAAGAAAAGTTTATTACAAAGGGCCATATAATAATGATGATGATGATGATGACGATGACGACGACGACGACGACGACGACGACGACGACGACGACGCCGACGACGACGACGACGACGACGACGACGACGACAACGACTGACGACGACGACGACGACGATGATGTATTATTATAACCATATTAATTTAAATGTCTATTTATAGTAGACTATAATCTAAATTCACGTACTTAAAATTACAAGCATTTCACCGGCATTGAAAGCGCAGTTAAGAAATTCGTGTACTGGAGCGAAAATTAGGCAGTTTCATACATATCTTGCCACTACTATTTGCTACGAAGGGCAACAAAGGATGCAGGGTTATCTCGATTTCCCAAGGCATCGCGTTTAGCGGCTTATCTAGTTTTTAGCTCATCTGACATAGTCAGATGCAGCTTGTAGAATCGCATGGTCGTCCGTGCGTCCGTCCGTCAACAGTTGGGCACAAATCTTAACCGCTCGACGTACGGTCACGATATTCGGACGTGGGGGGTAATCCGAAAACGAGTTGGGATGTCGAAGCTGGGGTCAAAGGTCAAAGTCAAGAGGTGTAAAAGAAGGGGGAACATTCACTCCTTAACTTAAGGTATAGGGAGGAAATGCAGAATTGCGGCACAAATCTAAACGGCTCGACATAGGCTCGTGATAGTCGGTGTATAGCATCATGGTAGGAAAAGCCATCACTGTGCCGAAATTGGAGGTCACAGGTCAAAGGTCAATGGGCACAGGGCAGATTTTAGACATTTTCTGAGGACATGGTCTGACGGAGCGATTGAAAAACTTTTTTGTTTCAGCGGTGACCTAGCATTTTTATGGCATTATTGAAAGGACCATGAAATCTACTTTCTACTGACATGCGAAGATAAGTGTCAGATAACCTTTTGACCTCAAGAGGAGGTTAAGCATGGATTGTTGACTGTCCTGTTAGAAAGAATTTGACTGCCGGGTTTGCTAGTAGAATCTATACATGCTGGTGTATGAGGCTACAATGTCACAGTGAAATTTCAAAAGCTAAATTTGGTTAAAGAAGGTTTATGCCTCCTTAAATCGTATAATTTCTATGGCATTCTGTACTGTCGGTATGTTACATGTAACGTATGCCACTGCCAGTGGCTACTGCCAGTGCATGTTTTGGTGGTACTGTGGAGTTTTTGCCTGCGGTTAATTGGTTACAGGTGGCAGCTCTCTATTGCAGCCCTGTAGGCTTGCGTAGGTAAATGGATGAGTGCTTACCATATTCTGTCTTGCAGATAGTTGTTGCTACTACGTATGATGGGAGCTTCCATCTTTAATCTGAAGACACTTAAACGTATGCGCCATCTCGTGGCAACTTTCATAACGATCCAACGAACATTCTTTTGAGAAAGGTTCCTGATACCATCCCTGTGCATTCCACTGTTTCGGCGTGTATGTGAACACATTTGGACTAACAGGGTTTACTAGAATCCCACCACTCCACACAGAGTCACCGCAGTAGACGTTAGATGAGCGCTGTCGCTCTGCGGCACTTGTTATGGTTAGTAATGTATTGAAAATCCCAAATAGGCATATATATATGCCATAAGATTTAAATCAAACGTTTTTTTGATCAATCTATTTTGCATATTAGTCGTTAACCAACCAAATCCTTACTCTCTGTGCCCAATGAGATATCCGCAAATTTTCATATGAAATTGACCTGGATTTAAATAAATGGGATGCTCTACGCCGTATAAATAGTAATATAGAATAACAATGACAATAATCTAGTAAATCATACGCAATATGGCTGAATTAAATATAACTTAATCCGATATCGTACGTCAAGTTTTTCATCTGTCAGTTTAAAGTGAAGGTAAGTGAAAGCCAATTATTACAAGGGTCTGTGAGCGTGCGCGCGCGCAGTTTCTGTAACACGTGCATTTCTGGATGTTTCAGACTCCAGAATTTCGATGATCCGGTTTGCTAGCTACAGGACGGCATGTAAGCTTCGGTTCATCCAGAAGAAGCTGAATGTGAGTGTTTGCTTCACTTTAGATGCCGATAGGCTGGCTGGCAGCCGCAGAGGAACGTAGCCGTGATACGCATCGCGTTTCTGCGCGGGCGGTCTGCATTGATGCTGCGCTTAGTGTTGTCGCGATCAGATGCCGGCATTGGGAATGAATTCGGTTGAGATGTAGATTAATTCGACTCGTTCGTTAAGGATACTCTCAAGGTTTTAGGGAAAATTGTACGCGGATTTACCCAACTGTCAGCGCGTTTTGGCTTGCCGCGTACATGTGTAGTGAGCCGCGGCTGACGTCATGATGACGTCAGACACATGACATGGTTCGCACAGTCCTTGAAAAGTCCTTGAATTTGAGGGGAGTCCTTGAAAAGTACTAGAATTTAGTAAATGTTGAATTTGTGCTTGAAAAGTCTGAATTCTGAAAATGTCCTTGAATTTTTAAAGAATCCTTGCCTGTAATAAAAAGAAATTTTGTACCATCAATAATGTGCAAACCTCAATAAAAATTGCGTTAAATGAGCTAAAAAAGCTATAGACACGATAGACAGTTAAATGATGATCACAAATTACAGTAAGTCAGTAAAATCAGTCAGTAAATCAAGGTATGTTCTAGAAGTGACAGTGTTTAGAAGGGTTTATTAATGTGATCCAGGTAAGTTTTAGAGGTGACAGTGATTAAGAATGCGGTTATTAAATTAATCCAGGTATGTTTTGTTCTGTGTATGAATTCCGATAAAATGTCCGATAAAATGTCCTTGAATTTCTGATAAAATGTCCTTGAAAAGTCCTTGAACATTTTTTCAGTCTTCCTGTATGAACCATGCATAATACAACCAGCATTTTCACGATATTCACTGAGCCAGCCCCACACAGTAAACCCCAACGGGTAATGCTATCCCCGGGCGTGGAGGAGGTGACGCGCAACGTGGCAGCACTAGTGTTAGGATTAGGGTTAGGGTCAGGGTTAGGGTTAGGGTTAGGATTAGGGTTAGGATTAGGGTTAGGATTAGGGTTAAGGTTTTTGCATCATGATATCTGTCCCCACACCATAGATTAATTTTTGTGGATCACAATGCCTATATATAGCGCAGGCGATACATATAATATTAGTGTGATGGTTAGTGTTGGCGGTGTTGGAGTGAGGGTTACTGTTAGGTTTAACGTTTTGAACGTCATCGTCAACGTTATCACGTGACTCCCTCCACGCCGCGGGGATAGCAACACCCTCCATCAACATCACCTGCTACAGCTGTAATACTACTCTGATCCAACAAGTTCCCACAAGAGCCTAAAATATTCTCACACCTCGCAACGCACCTTACATAAGGCGCGCGTTTGTTGACAGTGACGTCAGGCAATGGGCGGTTCGCCCCATTTTGCATGAAATTGCGTTGGTCACTCGTAATTTCTCAGAATTTTCTCAGGTGCATGGAACATTTTACCAATTTAGTGGTGTCAGTTAGTCATGGATATGTCGCAGTAAGTACTAACAGTAAATATTTCACATACGTTCACTCATTTTTTTCACACAGGCGGTCGATCATTGTGAAAAATAGAAAAAAACGCGGATTTCTCCGTTCCAATTTCTGACTTAGTAGTCGATGTATAAATGGATATTTCTCTGTGATTACAACTCGGATAATTTAATTTACACTCGTTTTAATGGTAACATATTGCTGTAAAAAAGCTCGTCAGGGGTGTGCCGTATTATATGAGTTATGTCTCTTTATTCGCTAAAATATTAAATTCAAACGTGCGACTTGAATTTTAGGCAGTTTTTAAATTTTTTCCGATAAATTATAAACATAAAGAACAAGAGCCGCAGAGCGTCTGGGCTCATCTGAGGTCTGTTGCTACGGTTATAAAC